TGCAAAGCTGCTTTTCGTACAATGCTACTTTTCGACCTAGTGAGCGAGTTCCTACCCGACACGTTGTACTGCCGCGTTGTGTTGCCTTGCGTTAATTATGGGTTATCAGAAAGTAGCTGATATATCGTTTTACGGACATATCTATCGCTATACTACCAGCGTCACCAGTATCCTAGTTTCAACCAAAAGTATCTAGATGTATTAGCACGTGAGATGGCTATACCATGTGCCGACACTGACGGGGTTGTTATCATAATATTCCCCCTTTTAGGCTGCCAGAAATAACTGCTACCGACAAAAGTCCATCATTCCAAGGATAGTAGATTTCTGGCTATCCCACACTTAAGGGCATTTCGCCATATCACCATGCAGAGATAACAGAGTGATGGGGCGCATAAACGGAGCAATAACGAAAGCCATCCAAGCGAGTACCGCCCAGTGAGAATGAATGGACTTCATCGTGGTCCTTGAAAAGTTCCGGTGTCGTGCTCGTTTGATGAGAATTAAGTCACAGTGGAAAGAAGCATAGCTAATGCAAGGTCATCTGCGACGGTACCAACCGGATATAATTCACTCATTGGACTAAAAATAGTATCAGAAGAATGGCCGCCTAAAACAGATCATCGGTATGGCATATGTTCCAGTAGTGATGCACTTGTGATTGCACGGTTTCAGTTATACAATGCCAAAATAAGACCAAGGTAGGTATGCTGTTGTTGTACACTTGGTCAGTTGATCGCGATGACATAAAGACCAGGTATTTTCTGAGGAATCAACGTGTAGTAAGAGTGTAAATGTGACAATTTGATAGATGGGGAGAATGTTTGAGCTGTGGGTTTTTTTTGTTTTTTACCATCCGGGTTGCATTGCAGAACAAAGCAATTAAAATATCTGATATTAGAAATCCTTAAGAGTCGATGAGCAGGACTGTGTTCCAGCTTGTTGAACAATGCGTGTGGCACGAATTCATACAGAGACACGTTTTAACATGGGAAAACAGTAGTATTTCTGCACAGCCTGCATTTAGTGCGACTTTTTCAATGAAAACGCCAGTGTTCTGGGAGGATGTTAGGGAGGCAACATTACAAGTCGAGCAGTTACTGTTTGAACAAAAGCATGAATGAGAACATACTAAACGAGGAATTCAGCTGGATTTTAGATGAGTCCCGGTTAAAACTAAATTGGTTTACAGATGAGTGAACAATTCGAAATTCGAGAATCATTTAGTGTTAACTTGAAAATATGTTTTTCAATCCAGAAGAAGTACGCTGAACGTATTTCTTATGAATGCATGAGCGCACGATTAATTACCACCTGATGGATGGCTTACTCGGGCCGAGAAGAAAACGCACATTTTTTGCAAAAACATTATTTTATGATTATGCATAAATTCCTTAGAAAGACGAAATAACTCAATCAGCTTTCAATCAACGCCAACAAATCAACGATTTACGAGAAATCACCTATAATACTTTTCAAGCTACACAAACTAGATTCGAGAAGGTGCGCGCTTAGTTTGGCGCACTTAGTTTAGCTTAGTTAAATCGTATATATATATAATAACGGTACAAGTTTATGCAGTAAAAACTACGCTTGGTGTGCGAGTTTGGCATCTGAATATTGACCGCGTAGGCTCAAGATTAAAAATAGTTCTATGGATTGGAGATATATTTGCCAACCCGATTCCTTTACACACACGAATCAACTGTTGCAAATCTCTTTATTATAGGCCTTGAGGCAATTCAAGGGAATTCGATCAACGCCAGTAGGGGTTCCAATTGATAGATACGGTGACTTTTCCGACCAAAATGTACGTATTAGCACCGGTCAATGGACTCGTTTTATAAAGAACCATCAGATACATTTTCACTCTCCGAAATGAACTATTCCGGTACTTTGAAAAATGCCCCTATATGATAATTTAAAATTTATATATATGTATATATATACGTCTATATATAATAAGTTAATCATTTAATTTAATCTTCGTTTAGTTTATCCACAGTAAAATTGCAAAAATCAGTGGGAATCAACAACCAGTTTCATCGTATCTTGAGCCACAGCATTTTTTTTATCTATTCGGGGATTTTGCCCTCGAATGAGAACCACTGGTTTTTTTCTGGAGGTGGAAACTTCCAAAAGATTTTCTGAGCTCCAAGCGGAAAAGAGAATATTCTTGGACTTTAAACACAGTATTTATTGAAATATCAACTGTTGGTTGAAACAACTGAACTTTCCCTGTATTTTTTTTACTTTCGTTGTCCACAGGCCACCTATATTCATCCGTTACTGACAGAGGAATATCGTGACTGAAAGATGCATTCCAAGTGGTCTGATGCTGATTAGTTCAATTCCACATGGATAAAAGAGCAACATTCGCGGAAATAACCGGTTTCACTCTATGCGCTGGTATTATTATTTTCATCTTTTTCGAGTACACTGGTCCAAGATCTGTAGATGAATAAGCGTAAATAGTAAAGGCGATGCTTAAATGCTCCAAATGTCAAAGCCATTTGCCGATGATCACTCATTCAGCTTCCTTCGTGAGTTGCGAAACAACGTTGTTTGAAGTTGTTTGGACATAACACGCCGTACGTTCTGCAGTTCCACGATTTTTGGATCTAAATTCTTGCAAATTGCTTAGCAAATAAGATCTTCACATTTACAGTATTAGAGTTACTGGGGTCAGTGAGACTCCCAGCATGGACCTGTTAGACATCAAACAAGTACGGACGGTGGTCTAATTTTCTTTCTACTACTTTCGAGTTGCTTTTGTTCCTGCCCTAATGGGTTTAATATAATAATAAACCAAACATGGTCCACGATACAAAATAGTTTGGCAGTCACTGCCCTCCAGAATAGCAGAGGTTAAGCCATATTTTGAAGCAAAATCGTTCCACTTTGTTTAGGGTACATTTAAAATGAAGGGGTGGTGATAAGGTACATCAACCTACGGTTCGATTTTCAATATTCGACTACGTCTAAGAAGTGCTGTCCGTTGCGCTTATCTTAAAGCATTTTTCCGTCCTAGAAGTCACTTTACTGTTGAAAAGAACCAAAAATACACTGATTCTTCATCCAGCGCGTAATTACATGTAGGAATGTGTCACTATTTGTCTCACTTTATGTTGTGCGATGAGGCTATCAAGAATCATTTCGCTAACCTCTTGCTGTTCTGCTGCTTTTTATCTTTGATTGAGTAGATGTATTATTCGGTTTTGGGAAATCGCGGGCTAACTAAAATGTATGCTCAGATAACTACCTGAACGGAAAGCTGGAGCAGTTGAGTTGTTCGGTCAAGATAACCAATATAGTTATTACAGCTTTCTTCGAAACGTCCGGCAAAACAATCGCCCCACAGAAGCGCGAAAAAAGTTTGCGGGTTCCCGCAGTTTTGAGCTAGCATGTGTACCTTGCTTGTCCAACATTAGAGGCTCAAACTTAATCTCTGTGTTTATTATGTCCAGCAAACCTTGATTTCATCACTTGTTTGGACTGCTTACATTTAGCTGGCAGCAGGAGGATTGATGCAGTGATATTGGTCGGAATACAAATGGAATGTTGATTGCGCTATTTGATACCGATTAAAAAGTAGCCACTGCATGTCATCAGGTAGCAGTATTGTTCTAATTTTTCACAGTTAGGTTCGGTTCTACGCCGTTTCATTGATAGATCTGCTCATGTCCTCTACTCAAAAAATTCCAAAACACCACAGTTTCAGTTTCAAGAGCGGCTGTTTAGCATTTGCTGCTGGTGCGTTTTTACAAGATGCCGCTAAACTGCTTCAGTTTTAAATAAGTAGTGCAGCACACTTCGTCCGGGAACGTTTCCCTCTTCATAAACAGCCTTGATCCAGCTGAATAATCTGACTATATGCAAGCAGCTAGATGGCCCGGATATTCTACAGCTGGTTTTAAACTTTCTTAAGCGCAAACAATCACCACGCATTTGGAAGATATAAAGCTTTACTTCCCAGTAGAACAGTTTCGTAACCAATCCAATTATTGCCCATCTATTTGACACCTAAGGCACCAAAGACCTTACACGGCTGAAATTTCTGTAACACAATCAGTCTTCTGTTAATCATGGTCGTAGAACTTTGCGCCTACTTGTGATCGAGACAAGAATGTTTTCTGCCCCAGTCAAGTATCCCGAACCAAGAGGACGTCTGCATCAAGTCAGGTCGATAAGCTGCCTTTTGACAAAATTGATATCATGCAACCAATTTGCGGACGTTTGCCTAGACTAATCATCAATACCATGCAACTTCCGGATTTCGGACAATCTTGCAACCCACTTTCCTTTTTTCATTACTCCAACTGTGTATGCAACTGCGTGACCTGTTTCGCATTTTCTCTGATGACTTTTCTGTAAAAAAGTAACAACTGTTGAAACTGGGGCAATAAATCTATTGGACAAGCTCTAAGCGCATTCAAACCGGTGATGGACTGGTTTTACTCCACTACACTTGCAACGATGCGTGGGGCATAATACGCCCAATATGCCTAAAAAAATAAACCCAGTCTAACGCATCCAGAACCATCACTCATTCTTCAGGTACCGGACAACAACCATAAATCCTAACTTATTAGCAAAACATCTGTTAATCCATGTTGCTTTGTCCGCATTTGTTCATCGTTAAATGCTGCTTTTTTCTCCCGATATGTAGTCAAAGGTTCAACTTCTCCAACACGATTCATCTTTGAGTTCCATTTCTGATTTATTGATACGATTAGGTACATTCGAAAAATTTCCGATTAGCTTAGATCACTACTTATATCTTCTAAGCTGGTGTACTTCGTGTCACATACCGTAATTAGACTCATACCAACAAAATTCTTATTTTTGGAAGCTAAAACAACCACCAAACGTGTGCCAACTGCAGCCATAGAATTGGAGCATGTGATATTCTCGAACAGTTATTTGTTGATACTGTAATGTGCCGACGGATGTCAAACTGCGCGCCATCGTTAATCACAATCTCTTTTGTCTACTTTCAGAAGCGGCGGCGGTAACGATGGTAGAAAATGAAGACATCCCTGAATACCGGGCAGATGAGATTGATCGCCCTTTCCAGTGGCTACCACCGTCTGATGCTTATATATCCTTGTATCCCCTGTTCCACGTTGTTGAGACTGACTCTCCTGAATCCCCACGTGTTCAGAGGTTCGGAGAATAAACCGTTGAACCTACGCTCTTGTGCTTCTATGTGGACAGTTGGCGAGAGTTACCAACTTACTGTTAAATCCAACTAATACGTCGCATTCTCCTTTTCAGCCCACCCGGCTTCTATTCTCAGAACATCCACACAGTAAGTTTGGATACTTTTATACACGCAGACATATTACATAATTGGCGACCACACCAGGATTCTTACCAATGATGCGTACCCGATCCCACGGAAAAACTGAAGATGAACGTGTCGCATCCGGCGGTTCATTTTGGTCCTTGTGCTAAAGAATGTTACAGTCGTTTTTCTCACTTCTGTCTTCGGGTATTAGCGCCGGATTCACCCACACTCGATCTCCCCCGACTATCCCACCACCAGATAAGTTCTGCATGGGTGACAATTTCCGCCGCTGGGCAGCGGACACATCGGAATACATCCAGCTGCTTCTTGCCAGTGAACAAAAGCGTGTGCTGCTTTCCTTATTGGATGGAGAAGCTCGGGATATAGTACGAGACGAACATATCTTGAAAGATGGGGTCACAGAAGATGTCTTTGAACGGCTTCGCGCGTGCTTGAGAGAGCGGATCCACCCAGTCGAACATCAATATCGGTTCCAGTCACGGATCCAACTGTCGGGCGAAAGACTGTTGAATTTTGTTCGAGAACTGCGGCGAATAAGTGAAGACGCTTTTCCGGAGTTAACCGACGGACAGCGGGAAGAAAAGATCCTTGAGCAGATCATTGTCGGTACCCGAGCCCCTAAACTCCGCGAGCGGTTTTTGGGTAGTCCTCTTCACTCGGTTGCAGCGGCACTAAAAGTGGCGAACCAGGTGGAGGACATCTTGGGCGTCCTACAGAGGGATCGAGAGCCAAACACGGCACACCCTGCCCCCGTCCACATTCAACAACAACAACAACAAAAAGACGTTGGACACCAGCCCGAGGACAACCATACCATCTCATGCCATTGCGCCCTAACCGACCGTACTTTCACTCTACCTTTCACCGTCCAGCCCAACCAATCTTTCGAGATGGCCCTCCCCGAACCCTGACTGCCCTTACTGCCAGCGCTTCGGGACACACGTCCGGACCTGTGGACACAATGGGCCACGTGAGTTCACCCATTTCCAAGCAACGATTCACCAGCCCATGCTGGTCGTTGATAACTTACCCTGGGACGTCATACTAGGAGTAGATTTCCTGAAAAGTCAACGGGCGAGGATCGACCTCCTAGCGGGTACCATCTAGTTAGAAGGGAACCAAATACCCTTCGTCACGACTGCTGCCTCCGCCGATGAGTGTTGTCCCGCCATGTCGATCAACGTAGACATACTGCTGTCGCGACTGCCACCCACGATAAGCTCGTCGGCGAAGGCAGAACTAGGAAGTGTTCTGTCGGAGTACACCGATGTTTTCGCTTGGAAGGATTATGATGTTGGTCGAACGAAAGCATACAACATTCGACAGACACTGGAGATGCTACACCCATCCGCCTACCACCACGACATGTCCCGATTCAGTACCAACACCAGCTAAATCAAATGATGACATGCTGAAGATGCTACACCCATCCGCCTACCACCACGACATGTCCCGATTCAGTACCAACACCAGCTAAATCAAATGATCGATGACATGCTGAGCAAGGACATCATCAAACCTTCCGCGTCACCATGGGCCTCGCCAGTAGTCTTGGTGAAGAAACATGATGGTTCTTTACGGTTGTGTGTTTACTATCGCAAGTTGAATGACGTTACTCGAAAAGATTCTTTTCCACTACCCCGAATTGATGATACTTTCAACGCCTTAGGAGGGGCAGCCTAGTTCACTACACTGAACTTAGCTTCTGGGTACTGGAACGTGAAAATACAGCCTACTGACCGTTGCAAGAACGCTTTTGCGATCCCATCGGGCTTATATGAGTTCCAAACCATGCCATTTGGATTTACCAACGCCCCAGCCATATTTCAGCGCCTAATGTACTCAGGTCTACACGGACCAGTTCCGGATAAGTGCCTAGTTTACCTAGATGACATTATCGTACACAATAAAACAATTTCGGAGCACACCGCCAACCTAAGACTTGTTTTGGACCGATTCAATCAACTCGGACTGAAGCTGAAACCGTCGAAATGTGCGTTCCTCCAACGAGAAGTGAGCTACCTCGAGCATGTAATCTCGGTCAGCGGAATTCGATGTGACCCCGCCAAGATTGAGAACGTCAAGACATGGCCAAACCCCAAATCAGCTGATGAGGTCCGTAGCTTCATGGGACTGGCATCATATTATCGCCGCTTCGTAGCTGGATTTGCTAAGATCGCTACTCCACTCACATCCCTCCTGCAAAGAACACTCCTTTTGTTTGGTCTGAAGAACAAGCCAAAGCATTCGAGCATCTCCGCGATTGCCTGTGTTCCACACCTGTTTTGACCTATCCGGATATCTCGCCATCTGCCGGCACCTTTATTCTCGATACGGATGCAAGCGATTGGTGCGGTGCTGTCTCAACACTCAGGTGACACAATGGAAAGAGTAATCGCATATGCCAGCCGAAGTCTCTCACATCGAGAGAAGCGATACTGTACGACACGCAAGGAAATGTTGGCACTTGTAAACTTCATGCGACAATTCCGCCACTACCTTATTGGTCGCAAGTTTTTGGTCCGAACTGATCACAAATCGCTACTGTGGTTACAAAACTTCCGTGATCCCGAAGGCCAAATAGCCCGATGGCAGGAGTACTTGCAAGAGTGTGACTTCGAGAGCCAGCATCGAGCAGGTAAACAACACGGGAATGCAGATGTTTTATCTCGGCGACCGACCCGCGATCATTGTGATTGTCCATCATGTTCCGTTTCTTACGTCTTATCGATGTCGTTACACGCACCGGAAAGTGAGGAGTGGGCCGCCATACAATCCTCAGACCCCGAATTGAAACTCCTATGTCAGTGGCTATTCCACAACCAACACCGACCATCCAATGACGAAGTCGCGGGTTCGAGCTACCCGACGCGTTGTCTTTGGGCCCTTTGGTCTCAGCTGCGTGTGACGGATGGTGTCCTCTCCTACCAAAAAGGTCCTACTTACTTGCGTCGTA